TCTCTCTCTCTCTCTCTCTCTCTCTCTCTCTCTCTCTCTCTCTTTCTCTCTCTCTCTTTCTTTTATAATATTGAAAAATTATTATATTAAATTATATTATATATAAATATTAAATTATATTAGAGAAATTGTTTTCTTCGTAATTTCTTATACACATAAAACATTCTTTAATTATACAGAATGAAAAAAATACTTTGATTATTACTAGATTCGATTGCAATAATCTAAATAACAAAAAATGATATTCTATTTAAACAAAAAAAATGAAAATGATATTTTATTCATCGAGATTTATCCTCAAAATTTTTATAGTTGCTTCTTGTACATTGTCTAATTTATAAAAAAAAAAAATTATATCGATATTAATAGTAATTTTTGAGTAGATTTTAAATCTTCATATGGAACACTATATAATTGAATATTATTGAAAAATTATTTCTTTATCTAACATATATACTATTTCATAATATTTCTTTGTAAAATCCTTTATCAATTAAAAAAATATTTATTTATAATTATCTACTTTAAAATTTATTTTCCCATTATTTTATATGGAACATTTTAGCATATTTAAAATATTATTTTTTCATTTAATATATATCAAAGAAAAATTGATTCGCATTGATTACTGTATCGATTAAAAAAATAAAAATATTTATAATTATCTATTTTAATAATTTATTTTTTCCTCTCTATACAATTATCGCTTCTCAAAAGAAAATTTCATCTTTAGGTTTGATTCTCGATTTAACAATCAATTCAATTTCTGCTTAGAAATCATTCAAAAAATCAAGCCATTCGTGATGACATTCACCGTGAGATTCTCTTTTCCGTGATATGTCAGAAGGAATAAACAATTTAATCGTTTTTTTCTCCTCTTTCTTCTTATTCAATAGTTATTTTTCCATCGAAAAGATTACATGCGATTACTCCTCTCCGAAATTAAATCTTACTGTACTTATGCACACATCGATCATTCATTTGCTTGTAACATTATGAGTTATGAAACGCATAATAAATATATAATAATAATAATAATAATAATAATAATAATAATAATATATACGTGTATAGTGATGTAATTTCTGAATATAATAACAGATTTTAATATATCAATATTAATTGGTGATACTAGATTGTTAAGTTCACGATATTAATTTCTTATTAAATATATTATAATATGTGAAAATAATGTGATAATTCGATGAGGATTTAGTAAATTTTTAATGTTTTATTTTACAAATAAATTATTATAACTATTATAATTTTACTTAATATTTCAGATATAAATATTTAAGTACAAAAACTGGAAAATAAGAGACAATAGTTAATAGAGAAAAGAACGATAATGTGAAATTTCATTTATTTTTTACCGTTTTTTGAAAAATCACTATATTAAATAATTAAAATTTGGCTTTAGTTTAATCCCTATGTATTCCTCTTTTATATTTAAGAACTTCAAATAAAAGCAATAAAAATCCTTTTCATTATAATTTTTGAATTATACATAATAAAGAGATAATTATACGGAATAAGTAATATTAAAATTTTATAATATTTATTTGAATAAGATAAAATTAATAAGTTATATTAATAAATGAAATGATTATTCCATCTAATAATAACGATAAAATTTACCTCTTAAAATTTTATTTTAAATAATTAGTTACTTTGAATCATTTAAAAAAAAATTTAACTAATTTGAAAATAAAAAAGAAGTTAAAATTTGTAATTATTTTGAAAAAATTTATAATATTTTATGCGGTATATTCACAGGTATCATCGTAATGATTACATCATATGATAAATTTGAAAGTGTCAAATACGTAATCACAAGATACGCAACATACTATACTTTAAATAATATAATATAATAATTTTCTTTCATATAATATTCAATGCGTACAATTGTTATAAAAAAAAAATCATCTGATTGCCCTTGAAAAATTATACTGTATCATTCTTCTGAATCAATAATATTGTAAAGTTTCTAGTTTATTTAAATATTTATCTAACTTTATTTGCAATATGAACAATTCAGAAATAAAGATTGAAAAATCAATTTCAAAATTAAAGAAAAATTCTTCATTAAACTAATAATTTTCATAAAACCAATATTTATAATTTTATTTTTCATCAAAGAAAAGTAATTATAAATGAGTAGTAACTATTTTGATTATAATTTTTTTTCTTTGTCATATGAAAAATGATTGAGCTTTCTTATTTACCTAATATTATTTATGAAAATTATCAATTCTTCAAGTAGAGAAAATTAAAATTTTAGTGACATTCAAAAGAATATACATATATATGCGAAATCATGATGACTTGTAATAGTACTGCTGAATACGAACAACCCTTTCGCAATCGAAACGTTAGGTTTTCATGACATACACGTCGTAAATCGTCAACAAGAGAGACATTCCTGCATAATCAACAGGAAAAAGTGTAAGACCGTTGACATTTAAGCGATAATCACATTCAATTAATTACAAATTCATTTTATTTTTACATAATAATTATAACTAAATCATAAAATTTTGTCTTTTCATTTTATATTTGATTCTACTTTTTAAAAAGAATTTTATGAAAATCTTATGATTAAATTACGAATATTTATATTATATATAATATATAGTATATATAATATACTATATAATATTATATATACTATATATTATATATAATATTTATACAAATTATACAAATTCAAATTTTTATGATGAATATTGTAAAAATAGAGCATAAATAAACATTTCAATTCATTTTTCAATTGTATAATATATTTTAGATATTTTGTGTCTTTTCATGTATCTTGTATTAAAGTAAATTTTTATACATTCAAATTTTTCATAAATCCATATCTACTTTACTATTTTATGCAATTTATTTATGATCATAATAATTGCATTTATTAATATCAATTAGAAAATAATAAACAAAAAATCTTACATTTATTATTATTTTTTTTATTTTAATTTTACATTCAATTTACAGGGCCGAAAGAATTCAACTATAGAGGGCACAACTACTTCTACAGCGGACATATTCCCGCTCATGCAAATCAAAGGGTGGATTGGTTGGATGCTAGAAACATTTGCAGAGAATATTGTATGGATCTTGTTTCAATGGAAACGCAAGATGAAAATAATTTAATCTTCAGACTTATTCAACAAAGTAAGCGATTTAAATTTTCGAAATATTTTAAAAAAATTTATCAAAATTTTTGACTATTTTATAGTAATAAAATTATGTAACTTGTTAGATTTCTTCAAATATTTTTAGAAAAAAAAAAATCTTTTATAGATAATTATTTTAACGAAATTCTTGTATAAATTCACAAGAAATATGAAAAAAATATAAAAACTATATTTATTTCAAATTATCATCTAACTAATAATCTCTCACGTAGAATTGATGATTAAAATTCACGCAAAAGAAAAAAGAAAAAAAAAGAATACAAATGAAAAAAAAATTGTTTCAAAATTATTCAAATCTTCAAGTTAAAATTTTTTCTTTCGAAAAAAAATCAATTCGTGGAACAAAAAATTTTTGCCTTGTATTTAATTATTCATGAGGGAAAACGAGGCCTTCCATTCAATTGAAGAGAATAATCACAAGAAGAAATGATTCATTAATGTATGATGCACAGGCACGTTTCGTGAACGGCTGACGCGTGATCACAAAATGCTTTTACTTAGGTTTCGTGCAAGCTCAATGTATATCCCGATTGTATCGTAATTAACTCCTGGTCTTTTTTTTTTTATTCTCACTTCTTCATATAATTTTCATTTCGTAACATTCGTTTCACGCATATTTGCAATATTATTAAGAAATTATTAAGAAAGAGATTGATATATATAGAAATGAATTTCTACATATTCTTTTTATGATGTTTTTATCAATGTTCTATAGAATAATAATTTGATATGAAATTAAAACTTATTAAATATTAATAACTTATTAAATAACTTAGAATTTAGAAAGTTTTTGTTTTATTAACAAATTTATTATTATGCAACAAAACTTATCAATATAAATAATATGAAAATCTTTAAAAAAAATAAATATCGATTTTCTCAATGCATATTGATAATTTAAATTATATCTTTTTAATTTCTTCTTTATTAGCAATAAAATATAAAATATAAAAATATAAAATTGCCTTTTTTTATGTATATACAATTTATATTATTATCAATTTTAATTATTTATTTTTAAAAAAATAATTATTATATAATTGAAACATGAATACATGTACTTATAATAAATAAAATTTAATATATACTAGTATATATTAAATTGACAGAAAAATTTTGTCCTTGTGTAACATATAAAGAAATAATTCTTAAATAATTAGATTAATAGATAACTTTTTTATATAATTTCATTGTTTAATAAATATTTACTAAATATATTTTGTCATGAAAAGAATCACATTTCATAAAAATTTAAAAAAAAATATTTAATAAAATATATTTATTTATTTTCCATCATGATGTGAGAAATTTTTATAAAAAAAATTTTAGATTTATAATTTATGACAAAAATATTATCATTAAAAAAATATATACTCTTTGAAATATAGCATTAAAGATTAAATTATAAAAATAATTTTATTGAATAAACAAATAAATTGTATTCTAAATATTCAAAAAAAATGAATTCAAATGATGAAATTTTATTAAAAAAAAGTAAAATAAGATCCTAGATTCATAACTGTTGAATTATCATCTTTCATATATAAAGAAAATTCTTGAAACTTCTTACATCATTGCATATGTAAAATAGTAACAAAAAAAAACTTGTATATAATTGTATAGTTTTCAAAAAATAAAGAAATCGCATTCTATAAATATTTTTTTAAACTTAAACAATACTTAACGAAATCATCTAATATGACTTAAATTTTACATATTAACTATAAAATGCATATGAAAACAAATTCATTTCATCAATGTCTTAGAGTTTAGAAAGTTTTACAGCTGAGATAAAATCAAAGGCAACAGAAACATAGAAGCAGGTTCGTGAACAATTTATTACCTGGTATAACTTTAGCCAACTAGATAATATAGAAATTTCGAAACAAATGATCCATTGCCGACGATGCTTCGAGTTCATGTTAAGTGGCTTGTAACATTACGTCTTCAGCCGTAGTATTTCTTCACAACTGAAGAAAGTGAAAGACCAATCAGTAGTTTTATAGTTGGTTATTACAAGAACAATATTATGGAAATAAATTTTGATCGAATACTTCAAAAAACTAGAATCAATATTAGAATCAATATTATCACATAAAACTATTTTATAATTAAATATTATAATCTGTTTAATATTATAATCTTATTATTATAATTATTTTGGAATATATAATATATAATATTTGATAAAAAAACTTAAAAACATCTTAAAAAAACAAAAACGAAGAATTTATTAATTTTGCAATTAATTATTAATTATAAATAATTTTGAAATAATTCAAAGAATTTTCAATAAAATATCGATTTTATATAATAAAAAATAAAAAAAACAAAAATATAATATTTTTTTACGAATATAATTCTATAATTAAAAAATCCTATTTTTAAAAATTCAAAACTTTGTTAAATAAAAAATAATTATTGATCATATTATATAATTTAATTAAATTAATTATTATTATTATTAAATTAATTAATTATTATCTATGACTATTAATATAATATATAAATATATATATAAATTTCACAAATTTTTATTGATTATAATCAATAAAAATTTGTGAAATTTATATATATATTTATATATTATATTAATAGTCATAGATAATAATTAATTAATTTAATAATAATAATAATTAATTTAATTAAATTAATTATTATTATTATTAAATTAATTAATTATTATCTATGACTATTAATATAATATATAAATATATATATAAATTTCACAAATTTTTATTGATTATAATCAATCATTATTAAAATAATATTATGAAGTATAATTATAAATAAGAAATTTTTTTATTGAATCAAATATTTAAAAAAAAAGAAATTTAAAATTATTATAATTATCTATTATTAAGAATATCTATTATTAAGAAATATTGAAATCGAATGAAAAGATTATACAATTAAGTAGTTTTATAGTATTTTAATAAATAAAAAAATTCATTTTATGCATATAATATATCTATATAAATTTATCTGTAGCTGATTTGCAAACAAGTAATTGCTTTTGTAAATAGAGATACAATTTTCATTCGTTGTTGAGAAATTAGAATTTCCACATTAATAAGCCAACGACAGAATCTTCAAGGCGAAACGAAGGATTTTTTAAGTGGGTTGAGGCTGAAGAATCTCATCTTTTTATATACATACACAATCACGGAATTACATCACGGAACGCATTAATCATTTCTAGTATATGAATGATGTATATGAATGACGTATATGAATGTGTGTTATCATAGAATAATATGATCTGAAAATTGCTTGACATTTCTATAAAATAAAAATATGCTTTATTTTTTTGAAAGTTTTAAAATTCTCTATTGCATAATAGAAATATAAATTTTATATCAAATACTTTTTTCATATTGAATATTCATTTTTGAATATTTTAATAATAAATTTTCATAAAATTATTGAAAGAAAAGAAATAAATTTTCACTAAATCGAAAATGATAAAATAATGCAAAATAAAAAATTTTTATATAAAAAATTTATATAATACATATTTTTTACAATTTTAAATCAATTTTATTATATCAAAATAAATTATTATTATATACATATATATTTTATAATATAAAATTTTTATTTTTCTGTGTTTATTATAATAAAAACTTATTTGTATAATTTTTAAATATTTATTATATTTTAAAATTATTATTTATTTTATAATATTATTTTATTATAATATATATTTATTTTATTATAATATATTTTATTATCAAACTAAAAACTACATTATTTTATTATTTATTTATTTTATACATGCATAATAATTTATATATTATATAATTTAAAAATTATAACTACTACATTAATAAATTATTTTCTGCTTATCATAGATGATGTTCCTTATATTTGGACTTCTGGACGTCTTTGTGATTTCAAAGGTTGTGAAAATCGTCGTGACCTTGAACCTAAAGCTCTTTATGGATGGTTCTGGTCGGCCAACAGAAAGAAAATGTCACCAACAAATCAAATCCCTGAAGGTTGGTCTTTCAATCCATGGTCTCAAACTGGTCACAAGAAAGTTAGACAACCTGATAACGCTGAATTTGATATAAATGGCACTAGCGAATCTTGCATGTCTGTTCTTAACAATGTTTATAAAGATGGAATCAGTTGGCACGATGTGGCTTGTTATCACCAGAAACCATTTGTTTGTGAAGATTCCGAAGAACTTTTGAACTATGTGGCCAGTACCAATCCCAACATTCGCCTTTAAAGGCCTCGTGAATAAATAATCTATGTCATTAGCACTTGTTTTATCCGTTTCTCTTGCAGTTTAGACGAGACACGAATTAAAAACAGAAAGAAAATAAAAAACAATCGTTAAATATTTTCTAATTAAATTAACTGCCTGTTTAATTTTAAAATATTGTTTCTGTTATATTAATTTACATATTAAAAGTTTAAGTTGAATTTTAAATATTTAGATTTACTAAATGTAAAATGACAAAATAATAATAAAAATAATTAATTATATATATAGTTATTAAAATACACAGTACTTACAATTGAATATATAAAAAAAAGAATATATATAAAAAAAGAATATATAAGTTGCTTTACTGATGTAAAGACAATATTTATTATTTATATAAGATTAATGATTTAAATTACAAAATTTTGTATAAAAAAATTTTTATAAACTTAAATATTATTGAAAAACTATAATCATAATTTTTCAAAAGCATTTAATTATTTTTTTATTACGAAACAAATGTTACAATTATTATATATACATATTATACATATATTAAAAATATTTGTTGAGCAATCATAAATAACATTGGAATGTGTCTCGTCACTGTACTTTTCCTGCACTCATTTTTTAAAGAAATTCAATAATCTTTTATGTTATATTCAATTCGTAATTATGCTATCAATCAATAATAATGTAAAGATATTTATTAATAGATATTTGGCAGACAGATTCTGTACATTTATGAATAAACTTTAATTGTAGGTATTTAAAAAATCCACTTATTTACCAAATCTTATAGATAACGCGTATGAATTAAATGTTGCTAAAAATTTGTTGTTATATATTAACTCATATTATTCATAATATATATATTAATATATATTAACTCATATATATATATATATTAATTCATTTTACTCATAATTTATATAATTTACTCATTTTTTGTTATAGTATTTGATTCAATAATAGTAGATTCAAGTTGATCATATTTTTCATTTTCTTCTTCACTAGAGATAGAATTATTTTGTTTCTTTCTTTTTTTAGTTTTAAACTTATTACGTTTTAATTTCATTTTATATTTACGCTTTCGAGGTAAAGATGTAGGATCTGCAAATGAAATATTTTAAAAAATTATTATTATTATATTATTATAATAAAAAAATTATTATTATATTATTATATTAAAAAAATTATTAAAAAATAATACATATAACTAATTTTATAATAATTTTTTTCTTTATGCAGTAATCTTTCTATTTTGATATTCTTTTTACAATTATAAGTTATAATTATAAATATATGATAAATTAAATAATAAATTGTCTATTTTCTAAAAATTGACATTTATTTTTTTCATGTATAATTCAATATATGAAAAAAATTTAAAAAAAAAATTAATATAATAATAAAATAAAAACATTTTATGTTAAAAGATGATTAAGATATTAATACATACGATCATCAGGAATATTCATTTGTTTTCTCAAAACAATTCGAACTTGTTTATTAATAATTTCTCTACATTGTACATCAAAACCACTTGGTAGCCAGCCTCTTTTTTCATCGCATTTAGTACCAGGTAAAGGATCAGGTAATTTTGCTAACATTTCTTGTATTTCATCCACAAGAACATCACAATACTATAAAAAATCTCATATTTAAAATATAAAATATACAAATAATTCACAAAAATAATAAAATTATAATAAACCTGATAAAACATTTGTCTTGAAGGAGGTATTGTTCCTTCTCGATAGATATACACATTTTCATGTAAATCCTGTTCTTTTTTAGAATTTTGTTCTTGACTTGGAGTTGTATTTTGCACAATTGTTTTCTGTTTTGAAACTGGTGTTGATTTATATGGTAATGTATATTCTGAATAATTTCTTTTACATTTAACAGTTGATGTCAAACCATCTAAGTAAAATAAAAATAACAATAAAATAATGAACAATAAAAGTTATCATATATTATATTATTAATAGTAATATTTGAAAAACTTACGCATAGCTCTCACTCTATAATCTAAAATTTGATATATTCTGGCAAAAATGTCATTTCTTGGATCATATCCTAATTTTACCCATAAGATTTTCCATGGACCATTTACAAAGTAATATGATACTGCAGGTAATAAAATTTTTAATTGCTGAGAAGAAAATTTAGTTTTATACATGATTGCATTTTTTGACCAAATTGGTCGTTCCTCAAAAATTTGACGTATCTGTTCAAAATGTATGTTTTGAATAAATTTGACTTTCATAGCAGTTTCAATGCCTGCTGGTGGTTTAGAAGGAACTTCTGCTGTTGAAAAATCAACAAAATTCAAAAATCCCGCTCGTCTTTTTCTAGTTCTTTCTGGAGATGAATTTACTTCGGTTTTTGGTATATATTGTTGTACTGTGTCCATTCTACTGAATGCAGCTGGTGGTAAAAAATAAGGCACATCATTCTTTAACCAAGAATAATGTGGCATATTACTGGGATAAATTTTATCATATATGCATTCTAATTTCTTTGGATCTTCTTTGCTTTGAGTTATAGGTAAATATTGAAAATCACAAAGATCTGAAAAATTATATTATATATAGACTTTTTAAATACAATATGTACAAATAAATTAAATTCTTTCCATTTTATGTAATATTTACTTGTAAATTTAAATTCTGTTTCAACTTGACCTAAAATTTGTAATTTTGGAAGTTCATAGTCTTTATCTTCTGAAAGATCCTCATATTTATTACGATCAAATGTTGGTGCTATATTTTTTTTACATTTTGATAAATTTACATCATTTATATCTAAAGATAGATCTTCTAATTCTTTGATATTTTCACAATATAAATTTTCATGAGAAGGACCAGGTACAGCATCATCTAATATATTAAAACTGCAACTTTGTACTTGATCAATTAATTTAGTCATAACTTGATCTTGTTGATCTTTATCATTGCATTGAAATGCATTTTGAATTTCTGATAAATTCATTTTATTTACATTATTTTCAGTATTTTTATTATCATTAGTCATAGAATTATTTGTTGGTTGTTTCTTTTTTTGTTTGGCTTCATCTTCTTCTAATTTTTTTATTCTAGATTTTTTAATTTTAACTTTAAGCAAGAAACCATTAGTTTTATGTCTATCAGCACAAGTTGGTTTACAATAAATATCATCTGGTCTAAATCTTAATTCTAAACGTCGATTTGGAGTATTCACTGCCTAAAATATATATATATAATTAATATAATTAATTATATATATATAATATATAATTAAGTAATTAACAATTATAATTATATCATAAATGTTAAAAATTGATATTTTACAACCTTCTCTAAGGAAATAACATACCGTTGATATACTTTGAAGGCCACCTAAAGTTTCTATAGCTCTGTCTGGATTAATGACATTTCCAGGATATTTAACACAGATAAACTTTTTATCAAACCTATGGCCTCCAGGAAGTATTGGTCCCACATACTCATTTTCAGAATGATTATCTTTCTTATCATGATTTTTTTCTGCCTATATGAAATTTACAATGAATTAATTTTTTTATTTTTATTTTTATAAAATATAATGTTTAGGTTACTTAAAAAATAATAATAATAAAATAATAATAAATCTTATTAATAAAATAAGAATCAAACGTAAAATATTAATTTTAATTTAATTTTACATTTTCATCATTATTTCTTTCTGAAATATTACAATAGGAATCATCACTATCAATTTCTTTTTCATAATTATCGACCTTAAAATCTTCATCTTTTTCATTTTGTATTTCAAAATTTTCGTCATTAATATCACTTGATGTACTCATGTCACTTTTTTATATCGAATTCTTTAAGTTATAAATATATGTTTATATCTTTTTAAAAGATAAATTTCTTTTTAATTAATAATATATCAGTACCATAGATACCATAGTAATGAGAATTATTATGACATTAACATAGATTGTATCTATGTAAACTATTAAATTATTCTATATTTTATTATAAAATAAAATTGTATTTTCATTTATCTTTCCTTGGCATATTTTTAAGTTTAATAAACTCATATTATACTTGTATTTATATTTAAATTATTAATAATTATATATTGAAAAATTATTACATTTTAAACATTTTATATCTTATAAAATAATAACGCACAATCTAATGAATATCATGTTCTAATGAATTCACACTCTTATTTTTATTTTTGAGGTTAGATTCACAATGAATTTGATCATTTTAGGTTAGAAATACATCACATGAATTCGAATTCTCTAGATAAACTAGGTAGATTTTAGAAATTTTAAAAATTTAATTTTGAAGAAAAAAACT